TCTTAATCTATTTACCAGCAGAGCTATTAAGAAGTGTTTAATAGTTTAATTGTTTATACTAATAATTTTATTGTTTTATAATTTCTGTAAACCACTTTGAAGTTTTTATGTTCAAGCAGTATAAGTTTAATAAATAAACAAACAAAGGTGCAAATGTGAACCATGCCACTTTGGTAGAAGCAGGAATAGCACCATGTGTGGGAAATTAAACTTCTACAAAAGGTGAAATGGTATATTATTTAATGAGATGTTTGGAGGCACCTTGCCTTGCACTAAATGCTTTGTGCAAGTTTTATCATATGCTGAAGCTTGTTACAAGGGTAGCATGTTCAGACATGGAAGTATCATACTGCCCTCTAACAGATCTGTTCCTCTGAATTCTATCCATGTGCACACAGAGTTGCCCTTTATTCTGTTATGGCATAATTCAGATTAATAATGGGCATGTATAACCACTTTACTTTCCTACTATTCCCGTACTGGAAAACACATAAGGAGGAACTGGGCTTCTTTGAACCTTTAATCCTTTTTACATCAGCTTTTCTTCTTCTAATTTCCTTAGCCAGTGGCTGCTATTTGAAGTACTTAGATCTTGTTCAACCTAGTTTTGTGGCCAATGACCCTCTTCACTATGACTAGAGAATATTTTAATTAACAAATTGTCCTATAGCTAACAATTTAAACATAATCTTTTGGATGAGTTGTAACTGTTAGGATTACCTAAAATCTAAATAAACAGAATATAGTGACAGCCAGCTACAAATAAATACAAATGAAAATGTTTTCTCCCCACATTGTTAATGTAATACATCATGAAAATGCCTGCTTTAATTTTCAGTAGATTTTGTACCCTACCCAAAATAATTAATCAAATAGCAAACACCTAAGGTTTCATTCTTTTCTAGTGATGACAAAATAAGGGAAAGAAAGAAAGTTATGTATGTAGACATACATGAGAGAAATGTGAGAAATGTAATGGCAAAAATCACAGGACAAATTAGAAGGAAAGTAGAACAGAGAAAACCAATAGAAGAGACAGACCTGGGTTTCTTCTCCTTGATGAGTCCACTTCTTCTGTTATCACGTTGTGTAATGGACAGACAGAGACACAAAGAAGATGGACGTGAGAGGATGTACTCAGAAGGAAAAACTGACACTGAGGGAAAGGGCCACAATTGTTTGAGAAAGAAACCTGCAGCGCATAATCAGTCAATGGGAAAAAGAAAACACAAGAAACACCAAAAGGAACAAAATATTCATTTGAACAAGAAAGGATCAGAAAAATAATGTTAGTGATCGGGGGAGAAAAGCAGTATTTAAGCTGTCCAACCAGTGTGGCTAGGAAAGAGGAAAGAAAGAGATGTGTTCAGTCCACGAATATTCAGCTTACCTAAATATTTATTCTGGGATAAAATTAAATGTTAGCTCTGATTTTTTTTATTCATTTTCACATTATTAAGTAGTTTAGAAACTTTATATTGTCTATTTTCAATGAAGAGGAACCATCTTCCTTACATAGCAGGAAAGCAGTGAAAAACATCACATTTTCGGGGGGGGGGGAATCCATGCTTTCTAGAATGCCCAGTTAGAATGAATATTAATTGAATAAATGCATATATATTTGAACTATTAATCAAGCTAAGCAAGTAAAAGCTGGAAGACAAGGTAAGTTAAAACTGGCAGCTTGACCGAGTGCAATTGGGCTTACAGGAAGATAGAATTCAGATCATGCATGGCTCTAACCTAACCAGAAAATTACGGTATATTTCCCCTCAATCACATACTTCATACATCTGATTTAATGCCCGTACGGGCAGGGGTACCTTTACCTTTTTAATTAATACAAGTGAAGCAAAAACAGTATGGGAGTCCAAAATGTGGCATTAGACAATTTGAAACTAAATTAAGAACTACCCACTTAAAGCAATACAACTGACCTGGGCAGCTTTTCACTCCTTTTTAAAAATAAAAGTCGGCATAAATTACCAAATAATTGTGAATCCCATAAGCCATTCCTATATTCGAAATCTTATCAGAATTCATCAGCCCTAATATAATCTTAATTCACAGTTGCATCTGGCCCATCAAGGCTCTGCCTGCCCTCTTCCCCAAATGCCTGACTCTTTAGCAGGCAAACTGAAGCTGCATGGAGCAGGGGATATTCTTAGCAGACTAAGGCTCCATACACATTAGTGGCTTAAAATACAAAGAGGTTGATTTCTCCCCAGGCCCAGATCTGCCACCTGAGATGACTGGCTCACCATGCTTCATAGGTAGGCAAGCCCTGGCACAACAGCACTCATTGCACTGGTGATTATCAGTAACTGGTATTCAGAGGCATGTTGCCTCCAATATTGATAGCAGTATATAGCCATCATAGCTAGTAGCCATTGATAGCCTAATCTTGTGGCACCTGTTCAAATCCCATCATTGCATAGGTGAAGTTAGTATTATTTGTCCAACTGTGCATCACTTTACACTTGCATTCATTGAACCACATTTGTCATTTAATGCCCATTCATCCATTTTGGGGAGCTCCTTTTGGAGCTCCTTGAAATTCCCTTTTGTTTTTATCCAAGTGTCATCAGCAAACTTGGTTCCCTCATTGCTCACCTCTAATTTAAGGTCATTCGTGTGCACAGGTCCCAATACATATAGTTGGGGAACCCCACTTCTTAAATCCCTCTATTGTGAGAACTGAGACTTTACCAAATGTTTTTTTTTAAAATCTAAGTACTGTATACTATACATTGTTGGAATGGATCACCCCTATCCATATGCTTATTGATACTGTCAAATAACTCTAAAGGGTTAGTCAGGAAGGATATATTCTCTTGGAAGCTACACTGGTTCTGCTTCAGCAAGACCTGTTGTTCTATATGCTTGGTAATTCCATTTTAATAACGCTTCCCATCAGTTCCACCAATCAGTGGGGTGGAACCTGTCCCCAAGATCCCCATTTTGAATACTTAATAAAGGAATCGTAAGCAGAACCTCCTCCATAGATTTCAGCTGGAGAAAGATGCCTCAAATATGCAAGACCCCTGACTTAGAATCTTTCTTGCAGCTGGTGCAGCTACCACAGTTGGACATGCTCTCCACATCCCATGCTTGATAGTCAGTGGGAGCCTGTATCTTATGCTACCTGAAGGTTCTGAGCATTAGTAATCAATGGAACACGTTACAGTAGCCAATTACTAGGATTACAAAAGTTTGGCAAATGTTAAATAAACACCCATATTCCAGATAAAGTTGCAACAAGCAATTTCCTCCTATGGTATAAGTACGGTAGTCTGGTCTGCTCTTTCAGCACAGTCCAATAATGTGTTTTGCATCACTCAAAAGCATGGGAGATCTTCAGTAATGTAGTTTATAATCACCTTTATAGATAGTTATCAGGTCTCCACACCTGTGTACAGTTGATCTAAAAAGGGCCTATAGATCAGGCAACCTTGTTTCTACTCCACAAATATGTCCAAACATGATTATGTCTCCAGATCATGAGACTTAGAAGTTATATTAAGATAAAACAGAAAGGTCAATGGGGTTTTTAAGAAGGTACTAACAACACATAAACAAAGAACTTATATCTGCAAGGAGCTTGGCAATTCTGAATTGGTTTCAAAACAGGGCTCAGTGTTGAGCTATAAATTAATTGCTCACAGAATGGAAAGCTAGTACTTAGACAGTATTTATTTTTTTTACTTCATTTATAACCCACATCTAAAAGTGAGTGATGGCAGAGGAACATTTTGAGAGAACAAGACTACAAAGGACTTTTAGTGACACTATCTGGGAAAGGAAGCTTCCCTTACACTGTTATAAACTTGACTTTTACAATCTCATATGTATCCTTGAGAGAAGGAGGAAGCTGCAGACCTGCAAGGAAAAGCAAGGAACTGAATGCAAATAATTCTTTTTCAATCAAATGTATCCCTCCTGGCAAATGATTGCTCATCTATTCAAGTAGATACAATCTGACAGAATCATTAAGGAATATTGGATCCATCTTTTTGGCACAAATAGTCAGGCCTTCTAACCTACTCACAACTTGTGGAATGCTATCAACTTTGCACCAGCTGATGGAACTGACTTCCCCTTCCTCTACTTTCCTTACAGTCCCGCACATATGTCCAAAATTTGTTCCAGAGGCTCCCCCAAGATTCGAGAACACATTTTGGATATCACATTGGGGGGCAGTAGGGGAAAGAGACAAAGTATGTTGCAAAAGTAGGCTGATGTTGGATATCACCCACTATCCATACATCTAACACAGCATATGTTAGATCTTCACATTCCACACCCATCTCAGCAAACAAGCACCCCATCTGCCCCAGATCCCAACTATATAGCTTTCAAATGTAACAATGGCTAATTTCTAGCAATTCAGATTTCCCATTTATTGCATGCATGTTTTCCCATCTTCTTAGAGAAAGCTGATTCCTTTTTAGCATGACTCTTACAATCCACTCACTTCCAAACACCATTGTTTATATATTTTGCTTTCATAACAACCCCTTTCACCAACACCTTGTTTTCTATCCCCCCCCCCCACTCTTTTGGCTCCACATTCCTTCGCCACTTTGTCATTTACAACCACATTATGCCCCTTTCCCCCATAGTAAAAATAACCCAGACCAACCTCCTAAGATCCTTCCTGGCTTTGGTCATTTAATACACCCTTGAACATGTTTGAATTCCTGATTTTAAAATGTATCAATTATGACAAAAGAATGGAACATTTTTGTAAAAAATTACTAACTTAAGCCAAGCACGTTTTTTAATTAATGGGCATTCTAACACAAGTGGCTCTATTTTCGCTACTCTAAAAAAAGAAACTGTGCCACATGACTATTCCAAATAATTGCTACAAATTAAAAATAAAAATAAAAATCACAAAGTGAAAAAAGGTACATTAAGCACACACTCATTACAAAAGCATGAAATGTAACAATTTTATAGTCTCATGCTTTCAGGTGGTTTTCAAAACCCTGACAAACCTGGCTGAGTATGATGTTTCTTTCTTGGCAATGATTTGTCATCAGTTATTGTACCATTCACCTTTTTCTGCTGGTCTTCCCATGTAACTTCTAGCGTAAACCAAAAGAAATCAGAGCTTGTCAGAAACATTAATTAACTTCTGTAAGATACCTAACATCATTTGATGAAGTTCACTCTAAAGTACTATCACTGGTAGGGCCAAAACTAGGTTCTGTTTTTTCTTCATTGACCATGTAGTATTTTACAAGGATTCAAGTATGTTTAGGTTTAGAGCTTCCTACTACAAAAAAACTAATATAATATATAGCCAATATAATTTTTAAAAACCACAGTTTTATTTGTATGCTTATTTTAGTGCTATTAATTTACATGGCTCTTTATTGTTAGGCTCCTGCACGAAGGATCTTACGATCTAAAATTTGACATAAGGGAGGCAACAGAGGAAGGGATGTAGTCAGGGGTAAAAATGGGGGATATAAAAATTATTTCAGTAACACAAATGTTGACTTAGTAGCAGTAGACTCATTTATATTTGGCTTACCGTAATTATTTAGGCTTGCTTATAGCAAAAGCCTATGCATATCTACCCATAAATAAGTCCCATTGTGGGGCGTACTCCCAGATAAATGTGTTTAGGATTGCAGGAATAGTTTTTTATAATGGTGTTCTCCCCCCATCCCCAATTCAAACTAACCAGTATGTCCCAAAATAGGTAGAAATATAATATATACGGTAATATAATGCACATTTTGGAATTCCTTGCTGGTTTTACTGCCAGCTAACAAATTATAAACTGCCTTGTTAGATCAGATCAAAGTTTTCAAGAAGACTCTGGAAACTCACAAGAAGTAATGAAGATTGTAGACTTAGTGCTGTGTGTCACCACTGTCTGTGGCTCAGAGATTTACTGGCTCTGAACATGAAGGATCTATTTAACTGCTTGGCGTGATATACCATTCACCTAAAATTGGTTTAATCCTTTGTAAGGACATAAGAACACAAAAGTAGCTTTATGGATCAGGCCAATGGCCCACCTAGTCCAGCATCCTGTTCTCATACATTTTAGTATTCCAAAGTGCAATACTATGCATTTCTACTCAGAAGAAAATCCCATCCAGTTCAATAGATTTACACAAACTAAATGTGTACTGGATTGCATATACTTTACTTGCAGATAAACTGTGATACTTGGATAGCAGTGAAGCAGGAATAAACTTCCCTATGTGTAAAAAAGGTAAAGGTACCTCTGCCCGTACGGGCCAGTCTTGCCAGACTCTAGGGTTGTGCGCTCATCTCACTCTATAGGCCGGGAGCCAGTGCTGTCCGCAGACACTTCCGGGTCACGTGGCCAGCGTGACATCACTGCTCTGGCAAGCCAGCGCAGCACATGGAACACCGTTTACCTTCCCGCTAGTAAGCGGTCCCTATTTATCTACTTGCACCCGAAGGTGCTTTCGAACTGCTAGGTTGGCAGGCACTGGGACCGAACGACAGGAGTGCACCCCGCTGCAGGGTTTCGAACCGCCGACCTTTCGATCGGCAAGTCCTAGGTGCTGAGGCTTTAACCCACAGCGCCACCTGCGTCCCTCCCTATGTGTAAACTACCTCTTAAATTTAGGACTTCATGAATGAAAGTGCCAACAAGGTCTGATGCTATAATGATTGTTAGGCAAACCAACTCTTTTGAAAACAAAACAAGACATAAGTTTCCTCATCTCTTTCATCTGCCTCTCTTCTCTTCCAAGCTGAAAGGAACAGTAGGGTATGGCATGGCATTGCAGAGATGCTTAACTGACCTCCTGCAGCGGCTTATCAGATGAGAGAGGGGGAGGGGCAAAGCACAAGGTGGGGTAGTGGAAACACACTGGCAGGGGCAGTGGATTTGCTCCATTAGTGTGTTTATACCCATACAGTTTATTTTCCTCTTCTCTTCCTATCTCTTTTCCCATTTTGCACTTTTATCCATTAGAGTGTTTGCCATTATTTTAAACCAGTGCTGGCCAAACTTGACCCTCCAGCTGTTTTGGGACTACAATTCCCATCATCCCTGACCACCGGTCCTGTTAGTTGGGATGATGGGAGTTGTTGTAGACCAAAAACAGCTGGAGGGCCAGGTTTGGCCATCACTGTTTTAAACTGTAAGCAGCTGTGAGTGCACTGGCAGAAAGGCAACATCTAAATATTGTAAGCAAAAAAGCCAAATAAATAAATGATTTGGCACATTAATTCCTTAACACTATAATTTGCATTTATTGTTTTGATTAGATTAACTAGGTTTTATTCTGCTTGCACACTTTAAATATACTCAACGAGGAAAATTCAACATTGCTTTCTTCTGTATAGATAGCATAATAGATTTGCACCTGTGTTTATATTCTTGTAACAATGCGCTCATACAGAGAGAGAGAGAGAGAGAGAGACCAGCAAAATATACTTGAGTTTTGCAGCTTTTCAGATACCTCCCTTCAAAACACTATAAGCATGGAAATAGGCAAAAGTTGAAAACTTGATTCTCAGGACCATGAAGCAATTAGACCCATTAAACATGTAATGGGTGCTCTTTCCTAATGTGGGTACAGCTCCCATTGCTGGAGTGATGCCAAAAGGGCTCATCAGAACCCTGTTTCTCTCCTTCCATCCCAAATTATTCCAAACTTAGTGTAAAACAGGACCCTACAGGGATCACTGAATCCATGGCAAGGAAGATCATACACATACACCAGGCTTGAGTTCACTTAAGTTCTCTTGGCCTCCACAGCTTCAAGTGCATTTCAAGACTGTAATCTTGCAGACAGGCTGCTTAAATCCCGTCTGTCCCAGAAGATTTAAACAGCTTAACAGCATACAGGATCGCAGTCAAAATATTCTAGCTGCTGTTGCATATTGACCTTTCAGTCTTATATAGTGTACACTGCAGGCCCATGTACATTGTAGCTGTGGGGGGGGGGTGCAGAAGCAGGCGGCAAATGACAACACACACACAATTACACTGGATTCAATTAGGCTGTAACTTCACTGATTACAATGCAAGAGGTTTAGGGTAGGCATTGGGCATCCATGTGACCAACCAGCCTGCCTGCTTGTTAATGAGCTGTATTTTAGCAGCTGAGGTTGACCACTGCTGGGGTTCACCACAGTGTGAACTACTTCTGCTGAACCTCCTCTGGCCACTAGTAGGGGGGCTGCAATGGCGTGTCAGCACCTGAGCTGGGCTTCTGGACAGAAATCTCCACCCTCCAAGGCTCCTTAGGGGAATCCACCGTTGGGCTGCGGCCAGGTGCCCTTCCTCTGTCCCTCCCTCCTAAGGATCCAGCCAAATGCTTCTTCTGTCGTAGGAAAGTTTTGACAATTGTTGTAAGGTAAGCAAAAGCCCACAGGAAATGATCAGTCTGCCTGTGGGTCAAATTTCCACCCCATCCCCCCCACCCCGTCCTGAATCCAGCAGCCAACAAATTGTCCATAGGAATGCACTCATTTTAAACAGTGTAAAAATCTGGAAAATGGAATCACGATTACAAGTAGAGGGTAGGTGGGAAGATTGGCTGGAAGCTGTGATGGTGAAAGCTGGGCAGGTCCGCCAGACTTTCAAAATCTTCACTTTGGTTTGCCCCAGAAGCTCTGCCCCCTGAGGACCCAGCAATGAAGCTCTCAGCCTCACCCACAGTCTCTGCTTTCTGTGTCGTTGCAAAGAATGTAAAGCACCTTGCAACAGGCATGAGATTCCAGATACGGCTCCCTTCTTCCCCAACAGCTGTGCTGGGCCCAAGGACCATTCCTGGTTGCAATGTGAGATAAGTTTTGCAATAGGTGCAATAAGAAAACTGTTAATATTATTCCCAATAATAGAAGGTAAAGGTAAAAGACCCCTAGATGGTTAAGTCCAGTCAAAGATGACAGAAGATCAGTGTATGACAATAACTAAATATTAATGCACTGTTAACTAAGCTAATAGACAACATGCAACATAAACTACAAGTAATATATCTCTACACAAACACAATCTAGTAGTTATGGCATGAACTTGCCTTTCCTCCCACTAACAGGTGTATGATGTTTTTCCTCACAATCTTTATGGTAATAAAAACAGAGAGTGAAAATTAGTAATTACATAAGAGATGACACAGTGTTCTTCCCAAACCACCCAAGTGTTAATACACAGAAGCAAACACAATCCTCATGTATCATTTGCAATAATAATAACACACAGGGCTTCACACTTGTTCTACTAAAATCTTCTTAAATCCATGTAACCCAACAATTATATCAACAAAGGTAAATAATAATGAATTACAGGGTCCACAATCAAAACAGTTATTTATGTGCAGGTAAGGGAAGTATCATGGGACATGGGTGGCGCTGTGGTCTAAACCACAGAGCCCAGGGAATGCTGATGAAAAGGTTGGCGGTTCGAATCCCCATGACAGGGTGAGCTCCTGTTGCTCGGTCCCTGCTTCTGCCAACCTAGCAGTTTGAAAGAAAGTCAAAATGCAAGTAGATAAATAGGTACTGCTCTGGTGGGAAGGTAAACGGCGATTCCCTGTGCTGCTCTGGTTTGCCAGAAGCGGATTAGTCATGCTGGTCACAGCTGTCTGCAGACAAACACCGTCTCCCTCGGCCAGTAAAGTGAGATGAGCACCGCGACCCCAGAGTCGTCCATGACTGGACTTAACGGTCGGGGTCCCTTTACCTTTTAAACGGAAGTATCAGGGCTGTCTCTAGACCTCAGGCACCAGATGTCTATAGGGCCATTTTGATCCCTACATTGCCCCTCCTCTTAGCCTTCCACTGCAGCTCATCCTCCTCATCCACCAACAATAAGCCTCACAAGCACAAAGCCTGATTAAATCCCATTGTCTAATATGGACAGTGCTGGTGGAGGAAACAGAAAACCTTCCAATATTCTACCCACTAGGAAATTAGAAATAGGCCCATATTTCTCTAATTTCCAAAGCAACAGAGTTGGATTCAGAGTTGTGTGAAAAATTTCCCTCGAGAGTTGGGGAACATTCTGGAATGGTGCATAATATAATATGAGCTGGGGATACACCTTATGACAGGAAAGAGGTTTTTCAGGGGTAGCAGTGTGGAGAAGGTTATGTCCTACTGCATGAGCAGCCTTCCATTTGCTATACTCTCTTCTCTTTTTATATTCCTTTAGAATGTCACTGTTTTTTGGGATGGTGTTAGAATGTTTTTTCCAGTCTATACAGTACTGGGCAAGATACTGGGTATAGGAGAACGTATTCCTAAAGCTTTGGAAGGTCAACTATAAGGAGGCTGTTGCTCAGAGAGTCTCCTCTCCCCCACTAGCCATCTTCATCCCATTCATCCCATATTAACACCTTGATGATGCCCCTCATCAACTTTTTCTCAATTAAAAAGTCAAAAACAGTATAACCTTTCCTTGTAAAGAAGATGCTCAAACACTATTTTGGTGCCCCTTTTCTTCATATTTTGCAGCTCTATAACATCCTTTTTGAGATGGGGTGAACAGAACTGTGCACAGTATTTCAAGTATGACTGCACTATTCATTTGGATAATATCATTCTGATACTCGCAATAAAATTTTTGATCCTAAAGGCACAATAGTCAACCATCTAAGTCACCCACCAACTACAGATCAAACCATGCAAACTAGATAACAAAGTGTCACAGAATTACTTAGGGAGGAATACCTCCAGATCAGGTCAAGTTCTGACAATTATCAAAGTTCTGGTGGCCCAACAGAGACTCAGTAAAGCTCTCATTTTCAGTGGCTTCCCAGGACTGCAAAAACAGAGGGGATTGGTTTGGTAAACATAAGCTAATGGGCTCATTCAACTTGATTCATCACTAGTTGGACCAATCTGCTCCAAATCCAAGTCACACTGCTGGACAAGGCAAAAATCCAGAAAACCCAGAAAATATAATCTATATAACTTTTTCATAAAATTGCTTTAATAATGGTGTTAGAACTCTGGCCTAAAAGTTTCAGATGAATGAGACTGAAGGACATTTCAGCACTGGAGATATTTAGCCATCTATGCAGTAAATAAGACCGCTTCTTAAGAAAACATCCCCAGATTCTGAGAACCAGATTCTGAGTAATTGCCAGCCAGTTGTCAATCTCTCTTTTGAGGGGCAAAGTATCGAGTGGGTGGTTGCTGAACAGATCCAGGCACTCTTGGAAGAGACTGATTTCCTAGACCCATTTCAATCAGGATTTTGGCCTGACTTTGGCACAGAAACTTCCTTGGTCACTTTATATAATGACCCTTGGCAGGAAAGAGACAGGGGCAAAGGGCAGTTCTATTTCTCCTTTGCTTCTACAGGAATGGCAGTGGATGTGCTAGATGTCTTGCCTTGGTAATGGACTGGATGAGAGCTGACAAACTGAAGCTCAATTCAGATAGGACAGAGGCACTATCAGTGATAGTTCCCTAGACCGGATAGCTGGGAGACTGCCTGTTCTTGAGGGTGTTACACTCCCTCTTAAGGAGCAGGCACGTAGCTTAGGGGTGCTACTGAATCCATTACTACATGGATTCAGTGGCCTCAGTGGTGCAGAGTGCCTTCTGTCAGCTTTGACTGGTGGCCAAGCTACACCCCTACCTGGACTGGGATAGCACTGTAGTAATATTCAATGGCAGGTACCAGGCCAACAATAAAACTGCTAAATACTACTAAACATATTTAGTGTTAATGATGTGCTTGGTGCTGAAATACAACATAACATACAACATGCAAACTAATGCATGTTCATTGTATATTATGTTTATAGTATTATGAGACAAAGTTAATTTGGGGTTTGTTCTTTCTGAGCCGCAACTTCCATGTCACATGACAAACTCCTTTTCAAATACAGGAATATTTCAAAGGGATTTTTGTGATAAGACAACATATGTTCAGAGTCCACTGAGATAATTCAAGCATGTTGTGTAAGTCTAAGTGGATTTTTGGAACATGGTGAATGTATATATATAATATATACAATGTCATTTAGTTAATATGACTTTACCATGGTCCAGATATCAGGGCACAGTTCTCACAAAAAGTAATTTCATACCAGGACTACTTCCCATTGTTAAGTAGTCTGCATTTTGAACAACAATGAACTTTATTACCTTCAATCAGACATATCTATATTTTCATCTGATACTTAACGTTTAACTGTTACAATTGTTTTCAAAACACAAAAGACAACAGAAACTGGGATGATGATCTCTGAACAATCAATCTACTATTTCAATAAATTAAATTTTCAAAGTCCAATATACAAAGAAAATGGAAAATCGCATGACAAGGAAAAATTGACTCTCTGTGACTGGTGCTGGTGCATTTAGTGAGTGCTTCGTAACACAGTTGTGGATACCAAAAAGGTTACATCAAAACTGATGTGTTTAAATTCTGTTATGTTGTTTTCTTTCTTCATCCCACTGTGTCAGGTTGTTTTTGACTGCTTATCCCTACATATGAGCATGTGTATGTGTAAATTCAGTCTTAGGTTACAATCCTAACCCACCTACCTGGGAATAAGCCCTATTAAATTCAATAGGATTTACTTCTGGGTAGACATGGTTAGGATTGCACTGTAACTATTTGTTATTCTATTTAACTATGAACCTGCTATATGATCCTTGATTCCAAAGGGTACAGTTATGTATCTAAATAATGTACTCTAACAGAGTTGAATAAGTTAAGTTGTTGAATAGTGCCATAGCTCTGTTGCTATTTATATAAAACTAAGTTACAAAAGGTGCAGTGGATGTTGGTACATGCCTCACTAATGTAACATATTTTAGAGTCAAGGTAAAATCTATACAATTCAGTAGCATCAATTGCAGCAGCCCCCCCCCCTTAGAAAGCCTCCCATGGAATAAAAAGGCTTATAGCACAAAACAAACCCTCCTTTCTGTTCAGACCTTCTCCTTGTCTCCTCTGTCTGGGGGAAATTAAAGTAAAACAGAAAAGGGAACCAAAGCATGGGATTTTAAAAAACCACAAACCCCATAAAGTATACAAAAGGCATAAAACGGATCTTCATTTGGAGGCAGTGGAAGCAGTGCTCATCTGGGCAATTAAACAGAATTTTGTAGGAATATCTGATAAGTCTAATTGTAAATGCTGAAAGTGTATTATATATTCATGTCCTATAAGCATAAAAATGCTCCCTCCCAAAATTTCGAACAGGACTCAAACGGTGGAAAGCATGATTCAACCAAACATAATTAAGGCATACGTGAGACTTAAACAATTAAAATTAGCTGTTGCCAGGATCTGACAGTCTATCACACCCAAGAAAAAACTGCTTAGTAGCCAAGTTTCTCCATCAGTCAGGCCTCATATTTTGACCAGATGCCTGATACAGCATAGGAACTTTAGATTTGGGAGGCAGTGTCAAGCCATTCATAGATGGCAAACTGCTTATAATGTGGGTCTTTTTCACACAAAAGTAACCTCTGTGGGCAGATGCAGCATGACCCATTTGGCTGGCAATACAAACACCCATCACTCTTCTTTCTCCAACAGCCACCAATAAACATCTCCTCACAAGCCTCTGGAGGGAAGGGGAAAACTACATGAGTAGAAATGAACATCTGACCATAATATGAAGCATAAACTAAATGTCCATCCATAATGGTGAGCCACCATCTTGTGTTTAATCATTTTAGGACTGGCATCATAGAGGTACCTCCACATTTCATCCTTTATATTTGTCCAGATTGCTTTAATTATCCTTATTTACGAAGAATGTACATATGGGTATTGTGTCACATTTTATGGTCCTGCATTAGCCGATATTCCTATGAAATGAATGGGATTAACAAACACTTGCAACCTTTTAGGATGGTGCAGTTTATTATATGTTCATCGTTAGAAGACTTTACAGGTTATGTTCTAACATATTTTGATTGCAATGAAGGTAGGATGAACCATGATCCACGTATTAATTCTATAGTTGTGATGACAATTATAGAAATCAATACTGTACAGAGCTTTAAAAGCTATTGAAACAAGTAATGGGCAATATAGAACACATCTCTTGCCAAAAACCAGTTCAAAACCTTAGAGGCAAAGGTTTCCATTCAATGCTATTACTTTTATATTTAGCAACAACATCTCTGAACTTTAAAAAGCTCACTTACTTCTCTCCAGTGTTCCCTTGGGTGGGAGTTGTGGCAATTGTCTACCCCTGCGTCCTGCTACTGGAGTACCTGATGGGCTTGTTTGGACAGACCCCGTACGAGCATGTGACCTACAGGACACAGCAAAAGAAACCATTAGCAGTGAGATAGAGTTGTTCCTAGGTGTCTGAAAAACAAATAAATGAGGAATGGTTTTTGTACAAGTTGAACCTTTGTTAGCTGTGGCAGCTCGGCCCTATGCGTTTTAGAAGGCATAGTTATTGCTAAAAGGAAGGTTCATCTGAGGAAAAAGCCAAAATTATGCAAAAGGATGATACATGTAATGTTTAAGGAATTGCATCTGCAAATTGTCTATGAAAATGTATGTAGATATATATATATGCACACAGATGCAATAACACATACAGAAAGAGATACACATAAAATTGTGTGTATGTATATGTTCTATATTTTAAAGTCCAGCAGAAAGATACGTATGGTTTCAGAATTCAGTTAACATATTGAATCAGTGTTTTATTCAGCTATGAATATAAGGCAAGCAATAAGGCAGATGTACATTTCAGTGACTGAAATGGAGTAATATGATTGCTCTTAATCATCCTAATTCACCACTAAAAGACAAAGAATCATAATATTTTGCTAGAAAGTAATTTCTGTGGACACAGTCAGCTCCACACATTTCTATGCTATGTCCACTGTACTTTTTGTCAAAACAGTTTACTTATTTCAATACTGTTTGATCAGAAATACATTACTTAGACAGGAACAATGCAGGACATGCACACAGCAAATCAGAGAAAACAGCGGTTAAAATCGTACATACAATTAATACAATCAAATTTAAGAAACTGTTTTTTGAAAGAAAAAAAAAGTTTCATTTGATGTTATGGTGATAATTCCATAAGCGATGTCAGATGACCACATACAATTTCTCATTCTGTAAGAGAAATACATGGCAGTTATGAGGTGCACATGGTGTGAGAAATCACCCAGGATTCCTGATAAATGAGAAATCACAAAAACAAATGTAATTATTTATGTCATTAATCATTGTTAGTAAACAAATTAGAATGGCAGCCACACCATTATATCCCCTGTGGAATATAAATAGTGTGTTGGCGTTGGCAGGGTTAGTATCTACGGCTACTGGTGATCAGTCAATGATGAAAGGCAATACCATTGAGCTTTGGGGAAAATAAAAAGTGAGCTAGTGGGGCAGGATTAGTCTGATTGGGTTGTCTGTTTCACCTCGATAAGGCAGGTGAGGGAGGGGCAGATCTTCCCGTCATTAATGAAGGCATCGATCTCATGAGATTTGAGTCAGGACGCTCAGTGGATCGAGAGCGGGGGCTGGGCCGCTCTACCACAGGACGCTGTTCTGTTGATCTGGATCTTTGATATGGTAGTCTAGGTCCCCAATTCCTGTAATGTTAGTCAAAAAGCAGCTCAATTGACCTTTATCTATAGTTACGCATTATGCCGCATCATACTGGGTTCGGAGATGATCAACATTATGTACATTTCTAACAGCTTTTTCGTTCTTTGTTTTAGTTAGCTTCCTGATAACATAGAAGACGTATGAAGGGAGTTTGTCCCTTTATTAATAATTTGGTATATGAAAACATTTTAAATGGGTTATAATGTCATAATCTGCAGCTTGTGTACTAGGATATCCTGCATTAGAATGAGTCATTTACTGTTTTGTGAAGACTCCCTGAATTAAGAATAAAAACCATTGGCTTGACTAAAAATAGCAAGCCAAGTTAATATTTTTTAAAGTAAGGTCATAACTTGCACTCTCAGTCAGTAAGGTTGTCATTAACGTCAGTACACTTGATTAGGATAACTGAATATGAGTAAAAGACTTCAGGATCTTGATATTTTCATTAATAATGTTTTCCGTTCAAAAGATGCTGGTGTCAACCAATAGGCTTAACTTTATTCAAGGAAAGTTGCTGGTTTTTTCCTCTCTTTTAAAGCAGATGAAAATTATCTGCTACTGAATATGACCTATTCAGGAATACTAGTTGCACTTCTGAGGGAAAAATATAGATCACATCAAATGGTTAGTATATCAGCATAATGAAAGAATACCTAAAAAGTTTTCAAACAAAAAGTTTTCAAATAAAGTTATTCAGAAATGTGATCACACAAAACCATTTTTTAGGGTTGTAGGCTTTCAATGAGGTACTAAATAAATGCCCCACAGACAGGTTCAGAATAATACCATCCTCCAATAGCCTTAATCTAAAGCACGTAACAAGCAGATACTGTACATTGGAACACATGATCAGCAGGAGATACTAACTATCAGGGAAGTATCACAGCTGGCCTCAGACAAACTCACAAAGATTACCTCATGTTTTCTTCTGGTTCTATATATTCACTTTCTGAACAGGAAGCTTGATCTGCCAATACATCCACTGTTTCACTTCTTTAATGTCAAGAATAAACAAAAAAAGGTCACCTTAGCTAATGCTGCATTTAACGGAGAGGTGTATATTTACGGGGCAGCAAGGAAGTGTCAAGTCTATAACTACAGGTCTTGATGGAGGGGGGGAGGTTTCCCCTTAAAAAATCTTTTATGTAAAATTTACTTAAGGGCCGCTTGTCATTTTACCACCACAGTGTGGGAGTTTCTGCAACTTCTCCCTTCTTGTATCAAGAAGACATTGCCAGAAGCCCCAAGACAATAGGAGAGAATCTGTGGTTCCTTTCCACATCAGTGCAGTTTCCAGGAGGAGCTCTTATGAAGTCTCCTCTTGTGAATTCTGGGACTTCTGGTGTCATTCTCATGGCACCAAAAGCAATTGCACTGCAGCAGCTCCAACACTGGAAAGGTAATGCAAGAAGACCCCCCACAGCCAAATGCTTTCTTTTTCCATCTACAGGACAGTAAAAGTGATGGTCTAAGAAGAGCGAGACCTTTTTAAAGACACATTTTACTAAGGTACTCCATATATGAAAGAGATAATGCTCTTGAGGGCAGGATTCATAAAAGGATCTGTGAAGATATAGATTCTATGTTCTCTAATGCAGCCAACTTTTCCTGAGTCATTTATGGGTACATTATCAATCAATACACTTCACACTAGTTCAATATCCAACCTATAGCTCTTGAATAGCTCTCTGAATTATAAAACTCTTTATACCTTTCAGTGGAACATCCTTGCCTTGTCACATGTTAAGCTTTTCAAGCACATGTGATTAATTTTAAGTCATTCTAATGATATTCAGTCACACAACTAGTATTTCTTTCTTTAATTGCTGAAAGCTATGTAAAAATAAAAGTAGATTGCAATCACAATGAAAAGTAATACCCAATATGTTTTAACTCTTTTTGCATTACAGACAAGTGTTTGCCATCCCACTATTTGAACAATAATTACTTCAACATCAATCTTTACCGGAAAGAACCCTCACTCTATTTTTTCGTCAACTTGTGAGAGATCCAAGTACCGGTACATTATTTCCCTGTACACTGACTAGAGCTGAGTTTCTTAACCCAGCAGGTAGATTCTGCATAGTTTTACTAGGCCAAATGTCATCATGAACTTGGAATTTACAAATCCACCAGACATATCAGAACTAGAACTTAAATTGCATTAGTTAAGATGTAACCTGACAAGCTAAAACGATCTATTTGTGTCACACTGCAATAATCTTGTCTAAACAAAATCTTTATGTACATCCTAAGCTGATTAGATTCACATAACTTTTAAAAATAAGTAGAAAATGAATCTTGCAGATCAAAGTTATGTATAATTAAGGGAACTCCATTAACATAGAAAGTTTTAAAATTATATATATTGCTACAATGAGCAAATTAGGAAACATGATGATGCATGAGCACAGACAATTCATTGCTTCCTAGGCCAGGTGCTATCTGCTTTGTTAGACACGGTATTTGGTTTTCTGTCCATAGTACATGACAAGTAATGGCAGTAGCCAGGGCTAAAACAATGAAACCACTTAAAGCAATGAATGTGTCAGTGACAAAGAAATGAAAACACAAAAATGCAGCATGAAAATGGTGCATTTTAATGACCATTTAAGGCTTCCTCTACTTCTAGAGACACTGATTGCACTGCAACAGGAATACAAACAAACAAATACCTAAAAGTAACAAGTGCAAGGCTATACTAGCTACTTTTTACTGGAAGTACCTGTCCGTATCTGTGGAAGGCTGTTGGATCTCAATCCTTGGACATGCTATTCTTCTACTAGCTATTGGAAATTTGCTGTTTGGTCACAGACACAATATCCTTTGTTAGCACACCATCTTTAACCACTGCTACACACAAACAACTCATATTTCTATTTTTTAACCAAGGTAAAACACCAGTATTAAGCTATCAACAAAGCAATTTTAAAAGAATTACATACTGAGTAACTGAGATTTCATTTTAAAGTGGACAACAGTCACTAATCGTGCATAATATAATCATAAAATTCCTATGTACTAACATTATAAAATTAAGCCATCATATATGTAATATTAGCAAAAGTATGCTCAGATATACTGAATATAGAATTGAGATAATAAAATAATGTCTTAAAGAGACCATATATGACGAATGTATGCTGTGGCAAACCAGAAAAAGTGCATCTGTCTGCATAAGATTTCATTTTCACCATTATGTACTTGTGATGGCTTCTAAGCAGTATATCCCAAAAGTCTATGATATCAGTAAATAGTTTTTCCAAAATATCTATCACAGCAAGCTATTTGTGAAAATTCCTAATTTCAAAAGTATTTCTAAAAGCTATAAGAAGTATTTTCTCCATATTTTCTTCCCTTGAAGTTAAAACTCCAACATAAACTCTGTTAAATCCAAACAGCTAATTAAATAGGCAGGAAAAATGTGGTTTAATTTTAGGAGTGTTTTAAAAATACATAAAGTGTTTCCTAGATTAGTTTTAACAAATTTTCCACCATTTGCTTCAAGGCTGCCTATAAGCAAAGTCAGAAATTAAAAATGAACAGATTTATGCATCCAGTCTCTATGTAAGACAGAGAATATGATTCTTTTCTTTCCTAGTATCCCATCTCTGCACTGTTTCTGTACATTTTATATGCTATATGATATGTAGCATTTTGACTTTTTTTTTTAATCATCTATTACAGAATGCTCCAGTCTCAACACAAGTAGTAAAAGACAGTCCTATTTCTTCCCAAATATATTTAATTTTCCTTATTTCTCATTCATCTGCTACTGCCAGTTAAGTAAAGTATAAAATAACTTATAGGCCCAATAATGAACCTCACTGGGTTGTAAGCTTGGGCAGTGTGTATGAAGGTCCTGGCCTGCCCAGACAACAAGACCCCTCTATCGGCCTCATTGATGCAATATGTTTGGCACCAGCTTGGTTGCAGGAGTTGCCAGGAGGCGGTATACAAGGCACCAACCAACTGTCTTAGGAGCTCCGCTCTGGATTTTCTGTGCAGCGTTTACTCCTTAGCCTCTTCTTCTCCTGAAGATATTCCGCAAGGCAGCAGGGATTTAGGAACAGAGTTTTACTTCTCCTAGATGGGCTACCTTCCCAGGTTGATGAGCCCCATCTACTGCTCACTTCCCTCTACAGCATGTGCAGAAACTCTTCCTGACTGTTGGAACCACTATTGGTCTCATCCGCTCAATCTGACAGAGCCTGTCTTTGCGTGCAAAGGAAGCTCCTAACTCACCAAGGATTAGAGGCCCATTTGTTACTCTCACCTGGTTTGGCTGGCCAGCCGAAACCATTCACTGTCTTATGCTGACAGTTTCTAGGAGCCACAGGCAAGTGCAGGGTAGGGACCAAAGGTGGACAAACTACCACAGAAGGAGCACGATGTGTCCCGACCAGTGGTATTTCCACTCCCCTAACACCTCATATATCACATTGAACAAAGTTGGTTTCACCGTTAAGGTATGCATCATAATATTTGGAAAGAAAATGATATAGCCAAGTGCCATGAAAAGAAACTACAACAAAAAACTCAAAAATATCCAGTTATTCTAGCTGCATCAAATGCTGTTCACACTATCTAGGGCAGTGTTTCCCAACCTTGTGCCTCCAGCTGTTTTTGGCCTACAATTCCCATCATCCCTTGCCACTGGTCTTGCTAGTCAGGGATGATGGGAGTTGTAGGCCAAAAACATCTGGAGGCACAAGGTTGGGAAACACTGATCTAGGGATGCATGAAATGAGACCCACTAAACAATATCTATTGCTTCTTCAATTTTCCTGTTCCCCGAGCAATATATCTGCATGGCAAATTTGTCTGGCAGAACAAAATTAAAAAAGGATCTTAACTTCTCTTGATTTTTTTTATTTTTATTTTTTGGTGGAGCAGTTTGCAAACACCTGCCAGAGTGGACTGTCGACATGTTAGTGTGCAGATCCTTTATTCATTTTTCTCTCTACTGAAACACAGAAATGGGCTACTATATAAGCTTTTGGTGGCCTATAAATGAGTGGCATAAAGTTTGGAACTATTCAGAAGTTTACCAATAATGAAAAATGCAAAAAAAAACACCGGGGAGGAAAGGTAAATTATAGCACCACTACAACATAAATTGCAACAAAAGGCTGTTCACAATTCACAACTTCCTTTTGGTATGAGAGCCTTTATCATACAGAGCAGAGGCATTTGGGTTTCCAACAGACTGCTGTTAATCAGAACATTCCAAAGTTTTCTGCTGTTGATTGACCACTATCAGCTGACACTACAATCAACACACGTAACTGGAGATGGACAGTGTTTCACCTGAAGAGCTCCTACTATGCTGCTTCATCATTTTCACTGCCTCCAAACTGTGTCATCTGTCTTCTATGAAACTTTTTCCAATTAAAAACCCAGATTCATATAAATATTTGAAGCATATTTGCTATTCTCTCTCTTCCCATGATGAGGTTGAAACTAACTCTGGAAATAAGGGATACAATGTGCCTTATTAATTAATTTAAATGTAGTGTCAGTGCACAGGTAATTTTGGATTAAAAATGGACAGAACATAATCTACAAAAGAGGTTCAGATACAGGGACACAACGTGTACATATGCTTGTGTATGGAAACCTGCTCAAAGAAAACAGGTTTGCTTACCTGTAACTGTTGTTCTTTGAGAAAGATCTACATACAATTAAACAAACTATGTGTGTGATGCAACATGGAAAGAAGAAAAAAATGGACATGTCATATTAAAACCTAACCCTCTTAGGTCTAGTGAAAAAAATGACACTTAATCAGGTGTGAAACCCATTAATAAAATAACACTACATTTAAATTATGAGTACATGTCTTTAATCATAGAAGTGTAACACTGCACTCTTTACTTACCCATAGTTTTCAGCTGAACCATTGACTACATGATCTGCCCATGAACTTGCACCATTGTAATACCTTTGCAATGCAGTTAAAATAAAGACATGTTATAAAGATGAAGCTATTTACATATCAAAACTTTTCATGAAAACATATTTTTGACTGACTAATCTGGCAATTATTTCCAGTGTTTTCTGTATATCTCTTTCAATGAATGGATGTATATGTATGTTCCCCCTTAACATACTGGTGCATTGAATCACTGTCAGCCCATTTGACCTATTATCTTCTAATATTCAGTCTAAGGTTTGTTTGTTGGTTTTCTGTGTTATATTGTTTCGATAAGACTTGTGTTTTATGGAATATATTCAAAGAACCCCTTTTCTTTTTACAGTTAAAATATGTATAACCAAACAGCCATTCCAATCTTAAATATATGCACCAGACCATATATCTGTATCACTGGCATTATAGTGCTGTGAAACTGAGAGCCACTTCATACTCTATGGGGCAGCAAATTATTCTGCCAACTTCTACGCGTGTAGAAGGGAACCATGGCCAATCCTGGTTTGTGTGCCACATGTAACTATGGGATACATACAGGATACATACAGATGTGCTGGCAGCAACAGCAGTGTATAAATGCTTTGCATATATCCATGAAACACATAATAATACATTGCATTTACTGATGGCATAATAATGTGTATTCTTTAGCCTAACCATACACACATTGTGAGTAACAAATATTTCAACTGGGGTAATTAAAAATATATAACATTATGTGAATACTGTTTGCAAGAATAGTGTGTTTTATACAATATAGTGGAATTTTTTGGGTCATAGTCAACTAAGTTATATTCACAATAGGCCCAGTGAAATTAATGGACCTCACCAAGTTATGTTCATCAGTGTAACTTATACAGCATGGCTGCAATCAAACGACTTACTCAAAATTGTAAAATTTTCATAAGATGGGGAAAATATGGAAATAAAGCAATGAAAAGATATGACAATAGATGTGCTTTGCTATGTCTACCAACGGCATATTACTTTTACAGAAATAGTAGGTTGACTTATAAAATCAGAACCATGTGCTTTCATGAAAATAAAATTCAAGAATGAATTTAAAACAAGATATAATGGATCTTTAAATGTGTGTGTGTGTGTGAATATGTACTTTTATGTTAGCAGATAATAGGAGAAATCCTCAAAAGTATTCAGAAATAAACCCCCGCCTTTTTTTTTTTACCATGTCCATGATCATAAGCACTTTGGGTATAGGGAAATATTTATTTTGGTTCAGGAATTGCATAAGGTGTGATGTTTAATAATAACAGCAAAAAATCAGAATAATGCTACTATTATGCAATTAGCCAAATCATATAATAATTACTCAAATGTACAGATACAGAATTCTCTCACAACAGTGAAACAGCATCCATATACAGGTAGCAATATATGCTATTGGGGTGGGGGAACATCCTTAGCATCTTTAGCAGTGGCTAAGACTATCAAGGCTTGCAAAAACTACTTAGCAGGCAGCTGAGAAAGTGACCTGTTTCTAATATTAGTGCATTAGTCTCAACTACCCATAAGCTCTCATCAACCAAACTGATACAAATATTAGAACAGGCATGGTTGGAGGTAACCTTCAAGGAATAATAAGCAGCTCATCCGCGTCCTGTCAATCCAACCAACTATCCTGGAATTGGCTGAACAGCCAGCTGACCATCAGTGCTTCAGTGCCCTGCCCTTTCACAGTACTTGTGCAGCACCGATTAAGTCTTAGACTGGGAGAAGCCTATGTTTAAAGAGAAGTTTCACAGACCGGTAGCATCACTACACATACTTAACTCCAGTGTACGCATAGATCACCCCTATGCAGAGGTCACTGTTATCTCCTGTTTCTGCAAAATCTCACTTTTGCAGCTATGCATGCAATGCAGAAGCACAGAGCTTTGGATTGATTCCCAAAATGCCTACATATCTCCACCCCATGCAAATAAGAAGATGCTTAGTAGGGATATCCAGAAAAACCCCCAGAGATTTGTGACATTGTTACTTGTGGGTATGGGCATAAGAGAAAAGTAACAGTGTTAAGAAGAAATTGGCTGCAGTGCACACATTCTACCAGTAAATATCTTCTAGGTGAAAAAGTACTATGCGGCTCATGCAATACTAAACTACTCACTGCTAGTTCAAGCCTTTTATAACAGATCACTTGGAATAATATATTGCACAAAGAACACAAGTATCACAATTCTTAGCTATTTCAAAATTCTACAGCAGGGGTGCTCAGAAAATGCTTTAATACAGATTCTTATCTACATCTACTATATGAATCAAAATACCTTTCAGGAGTAGGGGAAATATCAGTGTCATCATAATATGTTATAGGCACTCTTCCCTCCTTTCTATTCCTCCTGAACATAAAATAAACAGCAAAGATATTTCAGACATTTTTGAATTCCCTTAGGTGCTCTATGCTTTTTCTTGCTTTATCACAAAAGATAATGACCATTATGTAATGTTCATCCAACCCTTTTCCTGCTGCATGAGGCAGTCTAGCAAACATCAAAGATACCTAAAGGGGGAAATGTACAATAAAAAGAACAAGTACTGTGCTGAAAACAGCAATTTCCTCTTCTCCTCCATTTCATCTAATTTAAATTTTAATCTAATTTAAATTATCATATATTCTGATGACATTAATAAAGCTCACATGACAACCTCCTCAAAGGTTCAAAGTAAAACTGAGTCTAATATTCATTTTTCTACCATTTGCAGATGAGTGTAAAATGAAACCACCTCTGACATTTTTCGGAAGGAGGTGAAGAGAGAAGAAATCCCCCCGAAAATTTCATGGAGAGGTGCTGCTACTTACATTACTTAACCATGTAATGTGCCTGAGGATTGAAATGTAACCTTGGGAGTGATGCAGTGCAACAAGATGTCACTCTCAAAACATTCCAGGAAACATGGATGGTGGCAGAATGCAGAGAGATCTTCATGATGCAGCCACTTTGTAAGCTGCAAACCTCCCTGCCCGCCACTGGGGAAAAAATCCAGATAAATTCCCTCTGAAAGGCATAAAGCTTGTCCCTGTTTTTTTCATGGGGAGAATATTTTTGGGAAACTTTTGACAGCTTTTGGCAGGGCCATGTTTGAAAGCACCTGTGAGGGGATTGCATTGACTAGCCTTGCCCTTCTATTGGCAATTTGTGTGTTAGTGACCATGTTAAAGGGCCCCATGTGCATACCAATGTACATGCATAGGGCTATTCCACACAAGGGGGACTGTTGGGTATGTGGCTGGCATGGATAGCAATGACAGCAGCAGGGTGAAGCTTCAAGACAGGGTGCCAACTCACCCTTGGGATTGTGGGTGCCCATCGCAACGCGGACACGCAATGTCACATGTAAATGCCTGCATGTAGTGCAGACAATTATACGGAGCAGGGAAACACATGCCGTAATGAAATCAGGACTTGGCGTAAGTACAAAACAGAGTTACATTTACCCGTAACTGCTGTTCTCTGAGTAGCTGCCTGTAAATTCACTCATATAGGATTTCCATCTGGATAAGCCAATTCATAGAAACTTCTAGAGTTTTTAGAGAGTAAGGTGCTCCTTCCCAAATTGTCAACTAATGCATTTTGCTGCCAGGTCAAAATATGTTCAAATCCTCTGTATGCTTAGCTGTTTGTAGGGAGGTCTGCTTAGAAATAAGCAGGTAGGGGTAGAATGAGCAGAAATTGTTTTGCATAATTAATGCACCCAATGGTAAGAATCCAACGGTCCAACACAATGTTGAGCCCTTGATCATCAGCTTACCTATCATGTTGGAAAAGCCATGGGTGTTTCAGATTCCTGGTAAAGCATCTATTCCCATAGGAATGGGGACTACATCCCCAGCAGAAAAACATGCTATTTGCATCAATTTCCACTGGCGGGGGGGGGGGGAGGCTTCAATGGTCAGAGGGTCTTATATCCAGCAAAAATTGATGTGAATAGCATCATTTCCCCATGTAGTCCTATTTCTAGTGGCAAAACAGGCACTGCTGGATATCTGGAGTGCCCAGTGTCACCTCTGCTCCCTCCTTGCTGCTGTATGTAAGTTGCTGCATCTTTGGGAAGAGACAACCTGGCTAGTAGATGTTTATACTCTATAAACCTCCCCCCATATGTCTGCAGCTGCATATACACTGTCATGTATATAAAGCCTGAAATCAGCCAAATATCTCACAATGAAACTGTAATGAAATTGTAATTCTTCTTGTTGGTTTATCAGATCGGAGGCCTTTTTGGTTTGGTTTATCTGATCTGAGGATCAGATCAGATCCAATGGTGGCATGGATATCTGAGCTGCTTGGTCTGGGCTACCTTATTCTCACATCTTCAAACATTTATCAAAGTAGTTTGAGTGCCACAGATGCCAAATCCTCAATGAACGGCCTGCAAAGCTACAGATCCCATCTGTGGAACTACACAGAGGCCACAACAGAGAACTAGATGTTAAGGAGGGGGAAAAGTCATATAAAACATGCATCTAATGTTTTTGACAACAACCCTGTACTCTAGGTAATGTAATGCTTAACTTGAAGTTCCATTGGAAAATCAAAGGAACCAAACGGCACAAGCCCCATATCTGCCCTGAGTGATCTAACCATATGCCAGGAAAGATTAGGAGATGGTGAAAAGTTATTGAATGATCATAGTTCCATTCAGATGCTGCTGTCCTGCTAACTTAACAAGCTATGGTGAGCCTCAAGCTTGTGTACTCTTTCTTCCCCCACTTTTGTGGTCACAAAGAGATATAAATTTTCTGTTTTCACTTTTTAAGAAACCATAGTTAGCTATTACAGCCAAACTTGGGGAATTGGTTTGCATAAGCCTAATTAGAAAACAAACTTGAACCAGAACCACTGTTTGATCTTGCATTGTCTTGATTTATTGAGCTGAGAGGAGTTTGCTCATTTTTTTTTCGTTTTTCTGCCTAGCAAATTGTCAACAATATGGTAATTATGTGACCACAAAACAACATCCATCTTGCTAAAACTGATAAATTATCTTCAATTTTCTGGATGTGGAAGGCTCAAGACTGGTCTGGCAGTAGTTAGTTCATGAGACACTAAACAACTGGCAGCACCTCCAATGCAAATGCCACTGCTGAACTATGTAGAATAAAAGGGTGTATTGAAACGTAAATCATCTACAACCATCTGCAACCATCACTCTTACCTACCAGGGCTGTTCTGTAAAAAGCAATCTGCTTTACAAGGTGGGCACATTTTTTATTTTTTATTTTAAATATTTAAGCTATCTCTGGAATCCCTTTGTTACTGGAAAGAAGATTCCATGGAGCCTGATCTTTGCTGAAAAACAACTCTTGTTCTTCCCTTCTGAGATAGAGGAAAGGATAACAATACTGGGCCCAGGTATCCAAGGCACATCCTTAATGTCCAGGTATTTGTTTCAATGGATTTGAAAGCAGTTTAGCAGTCTACTTTTATCCAGCTCTTTAAGTGAAACCTAAATGGTATCAAATCTTTTCTTTCAGGAATTAATTCTGCTGGATATAATACTGGCAGTTTCCACAACCTCTTTTACTCGGGGATTTTGGAAGTCGTCTTCAGATCCACATCATTTAGGGAAGTCTTATATGATCCTTTTCAAGATTTCATCTATCTGAGGATCAGGATCCATCTCCATCATAGCCTCTCAGCTACCATGACTCCCAGGGAATTCAATAATGGGGATATAACTGAAGTTTTCAGATAGGGCATCTCTGAATGTGCCAGTACTTTTGCCTTCTGGACAGTTTTAAGTTTGGATTATCTAATTGCCCTGGTCCATTCTGTAAATTTTAAGGCAAGGCAATGCACATACAGCAATGTAACCTTGCCCTTGCACTATATGTTGTACCCCAAAACTCAAAAAAATAATCTGAGGATCGCTCGTAACGCAATCAATTGCATTATGAGCAATTGATTGTGAAGATAAAAAAACACAGAGAAATGTTAATTTTCTTTCTCGCTTACAACACCTCATAGTAATGTATAAGGCCTATATCATGGCAGTAAAAGGGGAATTCAGTGGGTGTTGCAATAACACATGACAGAGAACCTAAAGAGAACCTTACTTAAATTTGTTATTTTTGATCTGGGAATTTCCTCTTTTGGAGTAAAGTATACATGGATATATACTTAAGTACAGTGGTACCTTGGTTTAAGAACAGCTTAGTTTATGAACAACTTGGAAGCAGAACGCTGCAAACCCAGAAGGTGTTCCGGTTTGTGAACTTTGCCTTGGAAGCTGACCATGTTCCACTTCTTGTCGAGTGTGTTTCATTTGTAAATGGAGTCCCCCCGCCGCTAATCAGAGGCTTCCTGTTGAGTTTGTCGGCTGCTGAGTTCTGGGCACCCACACAACACTGAGGTGATATTTGGAGCTTTTGTTTTTGCTGTTTTTTTGCATTTTTGTTTGTATGGCTTTTCTGGTTTTTTTTTACTGTGACTTGTTCTTAATTTTATGGGACTGACTTGTGACTGTGGCTTGTGACTTCGATTTGGGACTGTGGCTTGTGACTTCATTTTTGTGACTTGCTTTTGTGACTGTGTGGAACCCTGTTCAGCTACTGATTGATTGATTGATTGATTGATTGATTGTGTGACTGCAGAAATTGATTAAAAAACCCCATCCAAACAATGACTATCATCAGTGCATGTAAGGAAAAAAAATTATTTTTATCATCTACAATACTGTCTTATTTATTTTATAGTACAGTATATTGATTATTGCTTTCATTTTATGGATCAATGGTCTCGTTAGATAGTAAAATTCATGTTAAATTGCTGTTTTAGGGGTTGTTTTTTAAAGTCAGGAATGGATTAATCAATTTTGCATTACTTTCTATGGGAAAGCACGCCTTGGTTTTAGAACATTTTGATTTTGGAACAGATTTCCAGAACGGATTAAGTTTGGGAACCAAGGTACCACTATAAATACAAAAAAGCTAAAGAACCAAGAAATGAAGAAAACGATAGAACCATGTTTACATTTTTAACCCTAAAATTTGGTGTAGCTCTATAGAGTGACTGACATGGTAGTCTGAAGACAGAGCTCTAAATTAAGAATAGGAATATTTATAGAGGGATTACGGCCCTCAGAGGCTTCCAAGATGGTGCCGGTAAGGGTAGCCCTGCTCTAAGCTCCATGCTAGTAGTGTAGTTTTTCTATCAGTTTTTAACAGTTTTATTAGTTTTTTACCGGTTTTAATTGCTACCTAAGGTATTTAAACCTTAGCATTTACCTACAAGTGACTTAGTAATTTGTCTCCCTTGCTGGAAGGGCACCGAATTGCCGGCTACACAAGGAATTAGAAGGCAAGCGTTGGTTAAAATTACTCCCGGGCACTGGATCACCCTTGCTGTAGCTGTAGCCTGGAGACAGGGTCTGAGCGGAGTTTTAATACTTGGGGAAGGGAGAGAGCCAAGCCGAAGTTTTGAAGCCAGGCCAGGGGAGGACCTGAGGACCAGAGGATTTATATGTAGCTATGAAATGTAGTTTGGTTCTGACAAGAAAAAGATGCTCATAACACAAGAGTGCCACAAGACATAACAAACCTTCAAATTATGCAACTGATATAGCCAGGGGGTGAAAAAAAGGCACAACATGAAAGAGTCCTAATTAGTCCCTTTAAGCTGTGGAATTCAACAAACACCATGGTTTACACACAACATCACAGCAATATCCTTTTTTCTGGATGCCATTTATGTAAAATTACGTTGGTATGATACAGCAATGCCTGTGATTCATGCAAAAAGGGGGAAATCAGCTTCTATATTTTTATTTATTTATTTGGCCAAATTAATGATTGATACCAATATAAAAAAGAAAATTTCTGCTCTCTAAGAATAAAGTAATTCTAGGAGCAATGCAGATGATAATATTTTAAATTTACAAACAAAAATTCATGATAAAATTAAAGAGAGCAGTGACACAGTCTATACAGCAAAGGAAACCTTTGACCAGATTATCTTCACTAATCTAAAGGTCATAAAATAATATCCCTGTTTAGTGAGTCTTGTTATGCATCCAGTTGGGTATGTTCATTTTTATGATACATTTATCTTTGAATATGATTTTTATTAATGAATTGTTAATGGGTGGCATGTGGATTTTGTTTTTAGAGTCACCTCAGAGAAAGAGTTTTAATATCCAACACATCATGAGTTATATAATGTATTTTGCGCACCTTTGGGGAGACCTCTCCTTTTACTCCTGCATTTAGTGCCTTTTCTTCTTTCTTCCAATGTACCATTTAAAACTTAAATTGCAGATTACTGAACATCAGAGTACTGTTTGCTTATGAATGATGTGGGAGACTAAACAAACATGCCGCACCAATTATACCTCTCAAATTCATAGTAAGCACCCTCAGAATAGGTACGGCACATCGTACGGGATCGAAGTAATCTGATTGCATCTTCGCAAAAGATAGGATACATTGAGTGATCCTTGCTGCCAAAACATAAGGGATGAACATGAAGCTACAGTTAAGACATGTACACAAATGAGACACAAAGGTAAACACAGAGAAGCAAATGACAAAGAAAGAAAAAAAAGACCAATTCAGATGTACATATAAAGCATGCTAATGTATAAATGTTTATGATTAATGCAAAGCATTCTCAAAGTGATAATTAAAGCACTATCATGGTTTTAGATTGTAAATCTAAGAATAAGAGAAACTCAGAACAGTTCCAGAAGTGACACACAAGTGACTTTGGTGACAGTCCAATCAAAATTCACACAGGCAAAATGCAGAAGTGGTAGGTTGCACAAGTTCCTCTGCATAAGTTCACCTTCAAATATTACAAGAAGCACTGCCATCCAAATGCAGAATTAGGTAGTAACTGCATTTGTTGATGACGCTTCTTCAATAACATCCAAAGCCACTTTCAGTGCTGACCTTGATGTAATGTTCTCTCATTCACACAACTATCCCACTCCAGGGAGATATAAATTTGTACCTGCTGCTACATCCACAAGATACAAACAGCATTACCAGTGCTAACTACCTATTTAGAGACAATAACTGCATGACCCGAATCTGAAAGACTTCTATTCCTTTCTAAGAAGTGTTAATTACTGTCAGAGGCTGACAGTGAAAACCATATGTCAAGCTACAGACACATGCAGTTCATGAGGCACTCTGCTTGCATCCCAGTCTCTGGAATAACAATAATTAAGAATAATAATAACAACAGCAATAACAGTACACAACATTTATATAGTACTGTAGTTTTGAGAGCTGAAAGGACTTCACATGTACCATATTGCAATAATCCTTACAATTATTATGTAAGGTAGGTAGCATTATTAGCCCCAAACTACAGCTGGGAGCACTGGAGCTAAGAGACAGATGTGCATGTAAAGCTACCAACTGAGTTCATAGCTCAGATGAGATTCCAACTAGGTCTTTCCTGGGTCACAGCTCACCCATTTAGATAACACACTACACCAGCTTTAATACTTGTCCTTCACGTAACATCATTTATTCTTTCATTATGGAAATTAACCTACTTGAATGTTGTCAACACTGCCTGGGATAGTGACTTTTTGAAATGTTATATATAGGTCTAGAAACTACACACACCATACATTTAAAGTACGTGGCTTCAGCCAAAGAATCTTAAAAACTGTAGTTTGTTAAAGGTACTGGGAACTGTAGCTCTGTGAATTCTTTTGGGGGTAGCCATGTGCTTTAAAGGTATATGGGTCACATCCACAAAATTCACTTAAAATACACTTAAATATATGGTGTGGGTGTGACCCATATACCTTTTCTGGAATGATCAATGACCTGACTCTAACATTTGGAAGTTCAAAGACAAAACCTCATAAATCAACTGCTATTTCATGTATGCCAATAACAGGAAGCGGGTGTTATCAAGTAGAGTATGGTTAGGCAAACAAACAGCTGAATGTTTTCAGTCTTTAAAAATAACACCTACTAATCTTCTAAATATTTGCCTATAAAGCAATCCTGCAATACCCTTCAGTGACCTGAACAGAGTGAAGTAAAAATATAGGTGCAAGCAGGGACATGCATTTATACACACAGAGGCACACACACAGGAAAACAGATACCTGGCATTTCTATGATGGTAGTCAATGGACTGAGTGTGTTGAGACCAAGGCAGACTGACATAAGGACTGAAAGCATAGCAGAAACAAAAAATGAAAATGTAAGACAATGAAATGAAGACTGATGAACACACATCCTAAAAAGGAAACTGAAGGACAAACAACATGACAACACAGCAGCTACAAACAATAGTCTCTAATCAGTATAATTCTATAAACATCACAAAAGCATGGAAAAAATGCAAAGAATACCGAAAAACTCTGAAGGAAATGTTAATGGTATTTTTATCACCTAGTGGAACAATTTATAACTTTGCTATGCTGCACTGTGATAATCTTCCTCTATTGTCCCAGTGCAAGCATTTGACATCTGTAAACCCTAGAAATATGGGGGAGCTTAATTCTATGCACTGAGTCTCTTGGGCTTGCTGATTGGAAGGTTGGCAGTTCAAATCCCCATGACAGAATGAGCTCCCGTTGCTTTGTTCCAGCTCCTGCCAACCTAGCAGTTTGAAAGCACGCCAGTGCAAGTAGATAAATAGGTACCACCATGGCGGGAATGTAAACGGCATTTCCGTGCACTCTGGCACTCATCACGGTCCTCTGTGCACCAGTAGCGGTGTAGTCATGCTGGCCACATGACCCAGAAAACTATCTGTGGAGAAACACCTGCTCCCTCAGCCTGAAAGTGAGATGAGTGCCACCAGTGGTGTAGCGTGGGGGTGCAGGGGGGCTGTCTGCACCGGGCGCAACATCTGGGGGGCGCTCACACTCGCAGCTCTCTGCCCCTACTAAAATCCACAGGTTAGGGGGCGCAAATTACTTGCCTTGCCCCGGGTGCTGACAACCCACGCTACGCCACTGAGTGCCACAACTCCATAGTCGCCTTTGACTGGACTTAACCATCCAGGGGTCCTTTATCTTTACCTTTTACCTAATCAGCCCACAGTTCATATAGCTAGGGGGCATCAAATTCCTGGAATTCAGCAAGTTTAGGCAGAAGAAAGAGGACATTCCCAGAGTGAGGGCTCAAGTTGTGATGACTGCTATGAAGTAGGTGGAAATCTACAGGACCATGCCAAATTGCCTGGAAGCAAAATTGCTCCCTGACCCTGAAAGCAGAGACCAACAACGGTCCACAGCAATGTCCATCGACCACTATCCTATCCTTGCAAGAAGGCAAGTGTTGAAGTACAGAGAAGAGGGTGGGAGGTTAAACTGGCTGATAACCAAATAAAGAAATGCTGATAATATTTTCTCTTATATGCTCCAGGAATGTACCTGACAGTGGGCAGTCTCCAGTCAGGTCCATTCCTGAAGCTCTGCCCCTCAGGGAGCCAGGCTGAATGCCGGTTGGCTTCCCTAGTCTCGCTCATCTCTCAACCTCCTGCATGGCTGGAAGGTACACAAAGCACTTCCCAGTCACATGGGAAATCCTGTCACCAACAGTTCCCCAAACCCCACCGCATCAGGCTGTAAATGGCACTCCCTAGTAGGTGGGGCATAAGCATTTTCCTACCCTCAACCTTTCTAGAAGTAATTAAACCCAACGGTCAAGATCTGAAGTATCACAAGGAACCTTGACGAATCCGATATTTGCAAATTCTGATATGAACTCATCTGATCAGCACCTCTTGGACTAATGTCTAGATCAGTACTTAGTTAGCCTTCAGATTTTATACTTCTCAAATATTCCATTGTGGTTCTAGGCTCCAAAACATATCAAAATACATTTAGAAATATGCATTAGGAAAATATGCATTTAGCAGTAGGTATGTCAGGAGAAAATACATTTAGAAATGTAATTCTAAAATAAAAATCAAATATTTGTGAATTTTTTGGTGTGTATTTAAAAATATATTCATAGATTATTATGGAAATGAGATGAAACGGATTTATGAGTGAATACTGACAGACTAGAAACAAACTGATTCACCCATTGCTACTCATATACCTAGCCCTTTTTATATTGGCTAAAAGTGAGAAACAAATATTGAATGTTCTTTTCTTCATGATACGACAAATATTGTAGCAATAACGGATTGAGTATACAAGGTACCATTTTATGGTATTTCCATTAGAAACAATGGTGGTGGTGTAGGGGAGAGAACAAGGTGAGACAGTAACAAATAGAAAAATGCATAATCGATACCCCACTATCAACCTTTTTAATGTCACCATTCATCTCTTGAGTTATAAAAACAATATTTTCATTTTATATTTAAGACAAAGTGAGATGGGAATGTTGCTAGATTCAGAATAATTTATGTGTAGATTAGGAAAGGCGACCCAGAATCAAAATATAGCTGTACATATCAGTTTAAATCAGTGTTTCCCAACCTTTTTTGGGCAAAGGCACACTAGTTTGATGAAAAAAATCTCGAGGCACACCACCATTACAGCCCCGTGACGTCAGCGCGCAGCGTCATGCCGGGAGGGACGCACGAGCTCCTTCTCCTGCTCGTTCAGGGCCGGGTCGCCGCCGTGAGGGAAGGGCGCCGGGGCGCTGCTGCTGCTGCTGCCGCTCCCGGCAGGCATGGGCCCAGCTGAGGCGGCGGCGGCTGTTGTGGTGGTGGCGGCGATAGCGGGCGGAGGAGGGGGCAGCGGCGGGGCCGAGGTGGCCGGCGGCGGCGGGGGAGGCGGCGGCGGGTGGAGCAGGAGGGCGGCCGAGGCCGGTGAGGGAATAGGGTTGCCCGGGGCTTGAGGAGCCGTCGCCGGGAGTTGCTGCTGCTGTTGTTGCTGCTGCTGCCCGGACATGCCAGCCTCCTCCTCGTCCGCTGTCTCGCGCTCCTCCCTTTTGCGCGCGCTGCCCCGCCGCCGCCCCATTGGCCGGGTCCTGTCAGCTGATCCTGTGTTATTTCCTGTGTGTGTGTGTGAGGGGAGAATGGAGAGAGAAACCTCGGCACCACCACCGCGGAGCCGCCCCCAGCTCGACGCGGATCCTCGCCGCCGCCGCCCCGCCTCTCGCCGCCCGACTCGCCCGCCTCCCTCCCACGGCACACCAGGCAACGTCTCGCGGCACACTAGTGTGCCGCGGAACACCGGTTGGGAAACACTGGTTTAAATTATTATAACACTTTGCTTTAGCATCATTCCAGTGGCAATTATTAAGAGGAAAGCTGGTTTCAGTCTTTTTCTATTTTGGAAACACTATCACAAAACTTTTTTTCCAGTTTGGTACTGGTTTTATCAAGGTGACTTTTTATAACAATTTCTTTCTCAAAGCATAAATTGTCATGGATCATGTCCTAGTAGCCTGTCATTTCAAAATTTCTCATTTTGGCAGATCAAAATCAGTAGCTCTCATCACAGTATGAACAGCAATGCAGCATGATTTGTTGGTCTCGGGAGATACTTAAAGCTAAAGCTTGCATAGAGATTTAAGCTCTGCCATTCTGCAGGACTTGACTTGTCTGAGTCAGGAAAATGCAACCTCAGTATATATCCTGTCTTTATCAAGATGGAGCATACCATAACGAGGACCACTATATTCAAGAAGTTACACTGGGCAGTAATACAATTCTGTGTTTATGCAGGTAATTTTCCATAGATTATTGGATTTGTCAGCTCTCTCAGTGAAAACAGTTACTCAGAGGACTGATGCCTTAGCAAAGGAAAAATAATGAGTTCACTTAAGCTGAACCCAGCAGGTGTGGGTGATTTTGTTCCTCTTACCTTTCCTGATACCTTATCCCTATTATAAATAAATCAATTTGAGACTTTATCAGCAACATTCATAGCTCTCCTGATCTTATTCTGACTTGAACGTAATTTGCACCTAACTAAGCTTTTACTGAATCTGTGAATATCAGACCTAGAGACAGTTCTGGAGGACACCAATACTGCAAATATGCATTGTTGTAAAGAACAGCTACTGCTACTTTTTCAGGTTCGTATAAGCTAAAACACAGCAGTTTGAAATTTTAACCTATATTTCTTCTCATTACAAGAGCACACCAGAAATCTTTGAAAGTTAGCATCCATTAGTATTTCTTTTCCCTGGGGATAGCTAAAAGTCAATCCCACCCTTGTTTATTCCCTTTTGGATCCATTCCTAAGGCAGGTTGCAACAGCAGCAGCAACACCATGTAAATACAAGCTGGGGGGGGGGATAGTGGGTCCCCAAATTCATGAATGACCTAAAGCTGGGTCCTGGAACTGGAAAGGTTGAAGGCAATGCAGCACAATGATGCCCCCAATAGGAGAGAGAGGTGTTTGTGTTGAATTAAGCAAGCAGAGTGTTGCACTGCCTTCAGGGTGAGTAGAAGATGCAAACTAAGGTGCCATTTTAAATTGATGACATCACCATCCCCGCTCCAGGAATGTTATTTCTGAACCAGCCCAGAGTCATTGAGACATTTGAGAAGGTTCAATTGTATTAGGCATGAGACATAAATAGTGAAGAAAGGTACATGAAAATATTCAGAGCAACGCTTACAGAATCCTATTGGAGGACCAACTGTACTAATGCTTCTTCCCAAAGAAAAGCTATTAAAATGTGTTGATTTCATTCTGATTTCATGCTTCAAATGGAGCGTGCCTCAGTTTTGTGAAATTAATACTTGGTAAATGGAAATATATTGTTTTGTAATATTCACAGAATGCCTCATAAGTTCCTGCAGAATTATATTATACATATATGAACAATGCCTGCCCATTTGATACACACAGTCAGTGTACCCATTTCGGAAATATCAGGATATGCCAAAAATCAGTTTGGTTAAGAAGATTATGGCAACTGTGGAGAAATTCACATGAAACTTTTCAAGCCTCTAAAAATCTTAGCTGAGAACCCAGCTGAAAATACCCCCCCCCCATACACACACATTTGGGGAAGCTAAACAGTCAAGAGTAAGAAGCAAATGTTTCTTAGTAGCAAATCTGACTTTCTGAAATAATCTTTTCCAAGTGTCAGTGGTCCCCCTTTCGGAACAAACTCCTTCAAAAATCCTATCTTTCCCAAACCTCTGGACTGACAGAGGAGGAGAATGTGCTTTGGGTTTGGTGGTGCTGTTTTGAGTTTTAATGTTCACAGTTTTCTGTTTATGAATTTGTTTCATTCTATGAAA